GAATAATCGACTGCGATTGGTCAATTCTTATCGAGCGACTACGACTACGACCATTGTAGACAGAACCGAGAATCATTGTAGCGGAGGCTTTAACCAATCGCAGTCGACTATTTTTACGACTACGACTTTACGACTTCTATGTAGACGAGGCTTGAGGCTCGCCTCTGCGAAGAGGCCGAAGTCTACTCGACGCCAGCGCGCCACGTGATCGCGCACCAAGTCGATCCCCGAACCTTTTTCCCCGTGTGTGCCTCTCCGTGCGCGCCGCAGTGTGGTGAATGAACGATAAGCGCGTGGTGGACGACCGTGGTGGCCAGCTTCGAGTCGCACGGTTCCTCGGCCGCGGGTCCTGACGGAGCGCGACGAACAGCGGAGAGAGAAAGAGAGAGGGAGATAGAGAGAGAGAGAGAGACAGAGACAGACGTCGACATCGGGAACGAGAGACTGAGAGAGAGGATGGCGCCGAGTCGGCTGTGAGTCGGCGGGATAATCGTAGAGCGAGACGGAGCGGTCGAGGGGAACGCGCGTCGTGATGCTGCCGGGCTCGCTGGTCCTGGTCGCACGCTGCTCCACGTCGTCCACGTTCTCCACGTCGTCGTGAGCGGTGACACTAACCGCGATGCAATCCATCTACTGGACCGGACGCTTGCTGTCGCGCGCGCTCTGGAACGGCATCTCCAGCTACAACACCGCGTGCGGCGGCGAGCAGCAGCCGAGCGCGGCCCGAGTCGCGAGCGCCAGCCGCCGCGAGGCCTCCCTCGTCTCCGCCGTGTGCGGCTTCCCGAAGGACTTTGCCCGCAGCCGGATACGCAGGGGCCAGTTCGGCGACGACGCTTGGTTCACTGCCAGATTCAGGACGGCCGAAGTCATGGGTGAGAGGACTCGCCGAGGCGCGACCGCATCCCCCTCGGGGGGAGGTTTACGGATTTCTTTCTTTCTCCCCGGCTGCCCGCTTCTCGAGTTCCTCCCCTTTTCTCCTCCGAATCCCGCGTCTTCACCCCTCCAGAGCCTGGCGCAGGGCCTGAGGAACGTCGCTAAGGGCATCTGCTTCCTTTCACTAATTTTTACATTTTTCCTTGAAATGCCCATTTCTTCTTCCTTTCCTTTTCATCGCGGACGACTTATCAGTCGCAGAGAACTCGTGCTTTTTTTTCTGAAATGAAGGAAGACAGCAGTTAGCGCATGTCGAAAAACAATTTATCACGGTCCATGTTTAATCAAAAGAAAAAAAATGGCACTGTTCGCTTAAACGAATCTTTTCGCAAAGAATTTTATTGACAAACGTCTAGACCTGTAAAATGCAGCCAGTTTCAGATGTCAAAGTAAGTTACACTTACAACTAGCGTTATCTAAATGTGAGCCGTGGAAACTAAGTTTATCACCTAATATTGTGTTGTCCATTCATTTTTTTACATAATTTTTTGCCTGAAGTAATGTTGGCCATTTACTTATTGAGCATAAAGTATCCAATTGTCTATCTACGTCTGTAATCTAAGTGCATAAATTGTCGCTGCACCTCATTGGCACAGATGTTCGTTTCAATTATTTATTAAATAATAACTTGAAGACAATTTTACGTCGTAGATAATTGTGAACGTGTACATTTTGTTTCGAGACTGCAATTATTGTGTAACTCGTCTATTTACTCTACCGAGATAAACTTCAAACTTGTGGTTCACGTCGCTCTTCGTGAGGGTAAAATTGATTGGCGGTTATTCATAATTGCCTTGTACTAATTACCCTGTAAATGTTTCAGGCGTGGCCGACGGTGTGGGGGGATGGCGGCACTACGGAATTGATCCGGGAGAGTTTTCTAATTTCCTAATGAGGACGTGTGAGAGGCTAGTCTCCATGGGCAGATTCACGCCTACAGAACCAGCTGGCTTATTAGCACGTAGTTACTACGAATTGTTAGAAAATAAACAACCAATATTAGGTGAGCGGATTGCCCGTTTCTACCGATGCAGATTTAATACTCGGCTTAAATTACTTTTTATCTATTTCTAAAACTGGAAAAGGGTATAAAGTGAGTCGAGCCGAGATCAGAGTTAATCCACATTGGAAATGAACACCAGTTGTTGCGTAGAAAAATTAGAGACAAATCGGAGCCACCTAAGGCCTGTGTCCACGATGCTAGAACTCGGCCCAAGTTTGTAGTTCCGAGAAATGTGTAGCCAGTCAACTGGCAGCTTTCATGGAGTAGCTGCATGTTCTAGCATCGTTGACACAGGCCTTCAGAAATGCCGCCCGGAGACTGTTTCTCACGTCGGTTAATTTATTTCATGTACAGGTAGCAGCACCGCGTGTGTAATAGTTCTTAATAAAGAGACGAGCAGCATTTACGCAGCCAATATAGGAGATAGCGGCTTTGTAGTCGTACGAAGGGGAGAGGTGGTACATCGGTCTTCGGAGCAACAACATTACTTCAATACTCCCTTCCAGTTGTCGCTGCCGCCACCGGGACACTCCGATCTAGTTCTTCGTGACAGGTATATTATTTTTTACGCCTGTTTCTTCTGTTTACGTGTATCTGCATATTTCTGTAAAACCGCAGGTATAAAATATTTCTATCGTATGTTGTGCGATGTCCTCGTGAAAATTCATTGTGAACAATTACCTTCGTTCTTTGCTCCTCAGTCCAGAATCCGCCGACACCTCGAGTTTCGGGGTCGAGGACGGCGATGTAATCCTTCTGGCAACCGACGGGGTATTCGACAATGTGCCTGACCAGTTGCTAGTCACCGAGATGCGTAAGATTGAAGGCGAGAGAGACCCCACGAAGATACAGGTCGTCGCTAACACGATAGCGTGGATGGCGCGTCGTTTGGCGTTTGACGACGCCTTCATGTCTCCGTTTGCTCAAAATGCCCGAGAGAACGGGATCGATGCAATAGGTATGTGAAGTCACTGCTGATTATTTACGCCGAGCTACTCATTCTTTCGAGCAGCAGCGTTTTTGATACAAAAGAAAAGTAGTTTGTACAAAAATATCTTAAAAAGTCATAAGATTGCTGTTTTCGGGCACATAATGTGGTGCGATTTTTCATTTGTTTCCTCTTGATAAAAATTAAATGTTAACTGAAAATTTTCCTCTATTGATCTTGCTTGAACTTGATCCGTTAATATGAATAGATAAACGGGAAAAGTTTAGATTAAAGATATTTGACAAAAGCAACGTGCAAAAGTAGATTTTGAACCTTCCAGGTGGTAAACCGGACGATATCACGGTGCTGTTAGCAACAGTGGCGATATGATAAAACAATAAGGAACCAGTGTACAATAGAGCCCTGATGATCATTGTATTATAGTCCATGTCATTGCGTATATGTATTTAGTTATACACATCATATTAATCCTATTACGCTAATCATTTATTATTTAAATCGAAATAAATGGTTTTGTAAAATCACTTCTTATCCTATTCATTATTATTCATTTCTTTACAGCTTTGATAATTACTAACGTACTCTTTGGCGATTGCGGATGTGCTTGTTGATTCACCCTTTCAGCATCTACGTGCCGTGTGTCGCACGTCCACTTTTGCTGAATTTGTCACTTTCTTTAGCTGCAAGCATTTACATCTAAGAGTAAAAAAATATTTCAAGACCAAAACGAATCGAGATTAACGAGAAAGTATGGTCTTTGTACATTTAATGAGATACTGAAAGAGTTAATACAAACGCCTCCTAACAGGAACCGATCAAGAACATAATCGTCGATAACTGTACCAGAATGACAATGTTGACAATGTTTAAGCAACGACCAGGAATATCAAGATTAACGACTTAAAAATCCAGAAACATAACACCCACATTAGAATTACAAATATATTAAAGTATTGATCGAGCTAAATATGCAAGGAATACATCGTGCGAAGGAAAAGCGTCCTACGATCCTGGAAGCCAAAGATATAAGAGAAGATAAGTATGTGCAAATGTAAAAAATTAGAATACTAAAGATACAAATCTAGTATTCAAAAGGAATAAAAAATTTTAAGGACTCAAGACCCGAGGATCTTAAATCGCGATCAAAACATCGATAATTATTCCTCGCAATTGCGTGGGAGTTCAAATTTCTTATTTCTCGCCTAAATCAAGACACTAAAATAAATTTACATTAACATTCGTGAGATGACCACCTATGTTAAAAAATTTACATCCTGTTTAGCTTAAAATATCATTGCATATAGCGCTTACAAGAATCACAGAAAAAGTTACATCCAAGCTGGTTATCAATCGTACTTGACAAAGTAATGTCTATCTTTACCAAACAGAAGAAAAAATTAAGATCTAAAGTTACGCTAAAACTTAATTTTTGCCTTTAAAAACCTTAATTATTAACGAATTTTATAAATAAAACTCCAAATTTACAGTATTGACTAATATATTAATTTTATAACAAAAAAAAACCATTACTGTTCTACCGTCCTGGCGATAGAAAAGCAACCAAAAGAAAAAGCGGTTATTAATTGATTAATGCACGTGTCACCGTTATATTCATATAGTACATAATATACACATATGAACAAAGTGTGGAAAGTGTGTGTATATATATTATTTCTTTAGTTTATATTTATAACGCGCGCGCGGCGCGATTTGTACTTTGTAGATGTAGTTGTCTAAATTACATTTCGCTACGATAATAAATAAATGCTTTAGTACACTTTAAAATAGTCTCCCTCGCACAATGGCATTTTTTTCTCTCTCTTTCGCTCTCTTTCTCTGCCATCGACACTTGCAAGAACTATGAGCACGATTAGTGTATCACAAAATTACCACCGATCGCAAATATCTTACAAAAGTGACTCATTCCCGAATAAATTTAATTAACTCGCGAGTGAAAAATTACCCCATATTGAACCGGAAGTTCCTATTCGCGACGGGAATTTAACCCTCGGAATGCCAATCCAGTTGCACTCGCGTGCATAAAAATGCTATTTCTATCGGATTCTGAATTCCGCAGATATAAATCTGCGAAAATTTCAATACTTATTACTAAAATTTTCGCTACAATGTTTAGGATGAAATAATCTATTATATACGACAGCAGGATCGTGTATAAATATAAACTTCGACTAATAGTACCTAATAACAACTTAAATTACTATTACTTTTTACAACGTTAAACTTATTCCAAACTTGTTGGAGAACCTATGATAAAAAAAAAACAAAGTATACGTTCGCGGCGCTTTTGAATAAAGCAATTTAATCTATCATATTTTCTGACAGTGCGCAACGCTTGGCTTCCAAAAGGTTAATGTTATCGATAGAAACCGGATTCTGTACGCAGAAACGAGCATCGAAAAACACGTATGAGTGCGCAAATGGAATTTAAGGAAATCGATATCAGGCTTACTGATGTTAAGCGCTTATCACGCAGCTTTTTCTCATTTATGTGCAGAGTGTATAAATACTCGTGCGCTTTCTCTTGTCTACAAAGTTGACTTTCACTTGACAATTTGATTATTATTATAGGCTATTCATCAATCGCGATCTTTTGATGAAATCTTTAATCAGATATCCAGTCGAATCTTCTAAAAAAATATCAGTTCCAGGCTTTTCAGAAGTCCTTTAATAAACGAAATCGCCCGATCTCTTATACACCCTGTATATTATCCTTTACGTGTGTCTCATTATACATCTTTGCATACAAATCCGGGCACTAGATCGTCGATTATCCCAAAGGAACAATGATAGAGACGCGCGTTTCCACAACGTCATCGAGCAATTTGACATAAGAAACAGCATTGGGAAGAGAATGCTGAATTTTTCTATCATTGCACGTTGGCTTCCTGTCCCCAATTGAAGCCACCCGGCCGGTCTTCCGGTGGTGGCATATAATCTGGATCCTCAGGATGTGCGTCAAACAGAGTCTTACTGAAAAAGAAAGGAATATTAGATATTATCTTTGTCAATAGTCTACCATTTGCTCATAATCACCCAACTTTAAGACGCCCCTCGACACCTCAATTAACAAATCGCACTGTTGCAGTAATTTTAAATGACCGTTTCAATCTTAATTTGAGTTTCAGGAAAAGAGATATATGCAAGAGTCACATTACGTACAGTATTTGCGGAGTTTTCAGAATTCGGAAACCGCCTCTTAATCGGGGGAATACGTCCTCCGCAAAATAGTAAGTATGTCCTACCGCCATTCCTACAAGATCGACCCATATCGTATTGCCAAGCAGTACAGAGAAGCCTAACAGCACCCACGGCAAATACGGAGCCTGAAAACGTCAAATTCGTCGGTAATCATCGCGTGACAAATTGCATCATGCGATACAAGCCAGAATAATGATGCCAATAGCTGTTTCCAAGGTCTGTTTTTTTTAGCAGAACTTTTTGCGCCATTATTTCCCCCCTTTTTTCCTTCTGCGTTCAAAACCATCATCCGAGTGCCCCGGTGTATCATTTTATCCTTGTTTAACGTACGGCGAGCAATAAGGAGAAAACGACACACGCTCGGGTGACGTTTCGGAACGCAGCCCAACACAGAGGGGGAAAAAAGAAGATATCAATGGCAAGAAATTCAGCTAAAACGAATAAACCTATAAATCGCGACGGTAATAAAACAAAGATAACGTCAGAGTTACGCCGTTCATTTCTCTAAGCTGAGCTTACTTGGAAGTTCAAAAGTCCGAAGAAGTTCATCCTGACGAAAGGATTTCGTCGTGACCACACGTACACTAACATTATCGTGAATGCGTGCCCCAGGAACAGTAAATTGACGAAGAATGCAAACGTCTAAATCGACAAGTTAAGGAATGACGAAAAGCTGTCCTCAACAAGGACAATATTATACCCTTTAAATAGCAATATTAATAATTAAATACAATTATATTAATTACAATTACTAAATTATGAACGTTATTATCCAGAGCTGTCGTTAGTTATAATAATTACTAATCTATCAATAAACTATATTAATGTTACAGTTGATACCAGGGGATCAATTCTGCATCCTGCATAGGAAAAATGCTAAAAGTGAGCGGCTTTGTCTCTTTTTTAAGGAAACAGAGACAAGGCTACTCACTTTTAGCATTTTCACTGTAGTGTAAGACAGAGCTCGGCGAGATAGGTCACAGTCAGGAATATCTATAGGCATATTGTATGTAACAAGTTGCAGAAGGCGCGGTCAAGAATCGTCGCTTAACGAAGACCGTTTTTCATTTGTTATAAATTTCATTTTGGAAAATATCGCATAAATATGTAGAGCTAAACATGGAATGAATTGCAAGTCTAAAATCGCGAGGCTTGGGGTATGGCGATTCTTTCAAAATTTTATAAAAATCGGCCGTGAAGTGACCCTATCTCGCCAAGCTCTGGTGTAAGATACAGAATTGACCACTGGACCATTGCTACGATTGTCGACACTTTGCCAAGGATACGATCATGCATATTCCGCCGAAGATAAACATCATGACGAAATCAGCTGTTCTCCTGCGGAAGGAACCTTCCTCCAACATGCGGCAATATCGATATGTGAAGATCATGTTGAACAGCAGGTTGAAGCCAACGTTCCCGAAGAACAGGAATGTTGTTATTAATCGCCATATCTGAAATCATTCAACGCTTACAGTTTTACCGCGAGCTACCGCGACGCTTGTTTAACGTTGGGGAAACGTAGAGACCTATACATGTGTGTGGCTTTAACATACATTACGTATGCGCAAACTCAACGGCGGTAGTGACTTTTGAACCATCTTATGCAACGAAGCCGAGCACTTTGCATACAGCCATTTGCATAACTGTTATTTTCGTACCTGGTACTGCTCCACAATGAGAATGGGATTGAAGTACAGTTGGAACGGGGACACCAAGTCCAATTGCTGAAACATTTTAAGTATTTACTTCGCTGGCAAATACACCTCGTAAACACAAAATTGAGCCCGTTAGTTATTCAATTTAAATTATTCCCGACCAGACTTCTCTCGCACGAATCATTTTTTTATGTACAATCACTAAGGAGGGCATTGGAGCGGTACAACCGTCGAGTTTACTCGGGCGTGAAATTTAACAATTTCAAATCCGCAAACGCAATAAACTCAAGGGGGACGAGAGACGTCGAGGCTCCGGGGAACTCGGAACAGAGCACTGCGGGACACTGGAGAGACATTTAATGACCGAGTTTACTCGAGCGCGAGCTTTAACGAGTTCAAATTTACAAATGCACGGACTCGAGGGGGATGAGAGGATCTTGAGTTGCTCCAGCGACTTGGAGCGGGGCACCGGAGCTTACTCAAGCGTGAGATTTAACGAGCTCAAATTTAGAAATGCACTGAACCCGAGGAGGACGAGAGATCTCGAGGATCCAGAGAGGAGGACCGAGGGGAAAGACGAGACTCGACGGCGACGCGCGCGACCGAGGAGGACGCGGGGATGGGAAGCGGGCGAAAAACCGCGCGCGATAAGTACCACGGCTAGGGTCGTGATGACACAAGCGGTGGTGTAGGCCCGCGTCACCACGGGCATCTGCATGTACTCGTGCCATAACGCTTCGTAGGCCATTGGCATCGGGTTGTCGGCGATCGCGCGCCCGTCCGCTACCTTCCTTCGCGCCGAGACGAGACCTCGCAGCTGCACGCACGCCGCTCCCAGGTGGCCCGGTCCGCTTCACCATCGCATGTCGCACCGGCGCGCGCGGCGTTGTTACCTGCACATCGTCGAGAACCCGCGACGCGAATCTACCACGTCCGCGCGCACGATACCCCTGGCCGTCTGTACACGTAACACGTGAAACTGTCGGCGGACGGGAGGGCGGCGCGGCGACGGGCGGCGCGCGCGCCTGGGGGAATCCGCCAATGATGACGGGCCGCTTGTCACGTTGCCCCAAGTCCCCAAAGCTCCTGCACCTTGAAACGAGACGGATACACGTTGGGCGTCGGGGTGAGAAAGAGAGCCGAGGATTCCGAGTGCAACAGGCGCAGGCGGACGCGTACACACAAACCTGACACGTCGGGGGGAGGCGGCGGCTGTGACTTTCACGCCGGCAGGTTGCCGACCCGTCCATCGATCACCGCGCGAAACGGCGAACTTCACCCCGTCGTCGGGCGAATTGTTTATCCTCTACGCAACGTCGCTCGGACGCGGAGGATCGGCACGAGGTCGGCTGCACTCGGCGAGCGCCTAGCACGCGTAAACGGGCCGCCCCCGGAAGCGACAATTGAGGATGGTTCTCACCAAGGAGTATCGCATCAGCATGCCGCTCTCCACGGAAGAGGTAACCCTTAAATCGTTACGCTCGATCGCGCGTTTAATTATTTACCCGACGGACGACGGTGTTTATCTATGCTCGGCTGAAGCTTGTCGCCCTCGCCGCCGTTCGCCGGCCGATTTCCCCCCCCCCCCCCGTAACACGACCCTTCCGCGAGCGATTGCTCCCTGTGGTAATCGACCGATCTTTGTGCAGTACCGCATCGGCCAGCTGTACATGATCGCCAGACACAGTCACGAACAGTCCGATAATGACGAGGGAGTGGAAGTCGTGGAGAACACCGTCTGCGAGGATCCTGTTCACGGGACCGGCCAGTATACCGAGAAAAGAATCCATTTGTCCAGGTGAATCCCCTTACGAGTGCGCAGGACTAGGATCAAGTATGGAAACCCCCGAATGTTTCAAAGACTATGCATTTTAGAAACTGTTGCAACGGTACTACAACTTTGGTAAACACTTGTGTACGCAACTTGGAGTTTTCATGTATACACAATTTATAAAAATTGAAGTACTATTGCAAAAGCTACCGAGTTTGAATATCTCAAAACTTGTCAGACAAATGAAAAAAAGTTTCATACAAAAGTTGTTCCAATTAATTAATAGAAAAAGATGATATAATAAGAAATGGAGGTTTCCGTTTAAAAAATTCAAGATGACCTTCATGTAACCTTCAAACGACTATCTAAGGTGAAACCAATGATACCATCTTATGTCCCCCTTGAAACCGTACAACTTTTGTCTCAAATGTTTATTTCTAAGATGCATAGTTTTCGAAAAATTTAGGGGTTCAATATCTTAATATGCTAATACGATTTGGTTTCAGTCAACGGCACACGATACTATTTTTCCTACTGGATTGCTTGCGACAGCCAATTAGGATCAGAGTTTTAGATCTGGGTGTCAATTCTGTGTCTTACGCTATAGTGAAAATGCTAAAAGTGAATAGCTTTGCCTCTTTCTAGCCGTCCTCTTAGGAAGAGACAAAGCTGCTCATTGCTCAAGCAATCCAGTAAACTAGTGTCGCGTGCCGTTGGCTGAAACCAAATCGTATTAGCGTATTAAGATATTACTTAAGATGATCTTGAAACAAGAATAGACTATGAATACTGGCCATAGTACAGCTTGCTCTCTTGAAACAAACACTGCAACGTTATCTTGTTTCCATTGCAGCAAACTCCCTTACTGGATCCAGTCGTTTCTACCACGAATATTTTACGTGACGGAAAAAGCTTGGAACTACTTTCCTTTCACTATCACAGGTACGTTCCATTTGGTCTGCACACAGCGTAATCATAATTGATCTTCTATCGATCTCACACTTTTAGAAGCTGGAAGTAGTCTGACTCTTGTAACTGATAATCTTTAAATCTTTTTCTCAATTTAAAAACGAGTGAAACCCTTTTGTTATATATTTTTTGTTTTCTGGCATGTTTGTTCGTTCCCGGCGACTGCAGAATACACCGTGAGTAGCATTTGTGAGTGTTGTCGCACACGTTGTTCTGTTACGCTTGAACTTCTGTTTCTTCTTCCAGTGTTCCTTTATACCAAAGTTCCACATAGAGATAAACACACGATACGAGGACAACAATGGCTCCACAGAAAATGTAAATAGCTTGTTATATTATACATCACGCCCGTGCTGCGCATTTCATCATTAAGATGCTATTTTATTTGTTGATAAATTTTTCAAGCATGCGAATTATCACTTATGTTCTTCAAGCATGTTGAAAGTTTCTAGACACTCAAGAACTTTTCTATTTATTTTATCGTCACGCTTAAAAACTTTATCGACAAATGTGATAATGAAAAGTACAATTAATATAATAATGATAATATTGATTGCATTATTATTGTAGTGCTTAGGACTGTCGCCCATTGAATTGATCCATCGGCAAGTCGATTTTGTGGATATTGCATATGACGAAATCTCTGCGAAACATTACAAGGAGGAGGAAGTAGGTTTACAGTCACTCACGTTTAATTTTTAACGTTAGATCCTCTCCTAATGGAAATACCTTAATCCTAACAGGACCCAAAGTACTTCCAATCGAAAAGAACAGGCCGCGGTCCTCTGGTTGAAGGCTGGAGGGAAACGACGCAACCCATAATGTGCTCGTACAAATTGGTTCACGCCTCGTTCGAAGTCTGGGGCATGCAAACGCGAGTGGAAGATTTCATACATAGAGTAAGCTTGTCTCTAATCGACCATTCGCCTGTC